CCCCCCCAACGTCATATTGGACATCGGATGACGTGAGAGATCAGATCGGCTTCCCTGATTAACTGGCTTTATCTTTAAGCGGAGCTCTGAACGTGGCATCATTCTCGAACACGGAGGCGTGTGATCTATATGGGACTATTGTGTGGTCAATCTTGTTGAAATCGAACTCAAGATGCTTGTTGACTGGGTCTGGGCCGACCGATGAAGTTAAACAAGAACATCAAATTCAAATGCTGTGGCATGAATAGGATCGACCAGGCCGACGTACCGCTGAATGGTATGACACCGTCGCGGTGGAAGATGGCGCATTATGGGCCAATGCTTCGCGAAGATGACCGTCGAATAATGTTCATCCCATTAGACCTCCTCGATCAAGTCCGTTGTGGGCTGCCCTGAAGAACATCGAGCGAGTGTCCGGATTGCCACGATGTCAACAACAGGACCTCGCTGGGGTTCAGGGGCTCTACATATCTGGCTCCTCTCCGAAGCTGTCGTTGAACCAATTGGCGTGCACTAACCTGAGTAACTGCTTGATACGGTATTGGCCAATAAGATTGATGAAAGTGAAGAACATGCAAATGTTCGGAGGAATCCCACATCGAACACAGTCGAAACCCCAAGCTAGCATGTTCACAGCCCGGTGAGTAAGTACATCTTGGAACCCACGAAGCGAGACTAAAAAAAAAGGATAAGCAAAATGTTCTGACAATGTCTTCTCTAGGTACACAATCATCAGAGAATCTTCGGGGATTTTGCGAACCGTTATGCCCATGTCCCATGAAATAGGTCGTTCTGCTTTCATCAAACAGAAATGGTCCAGCCTCAGATGCCCATGCTTCGTCCCGCCTCGCCTAATGGCCTTCTCACCTGAGTACCAAGGCGAAAAAGAGTCAGGATGAATCTAGGCTTGCAGAAATCAACTGTCACGAAATAATCCCCAGGAATGTCGTGCGACTTTTCCTAGTATCATTAGCGTTGCTAGATAGAAGGCCGGAATGTCGCAATGCGGCCAAGATCAGCTTCGCCGTTTCGCTATCTGGGCCCCGAACTATCACAATGAAACTCTAGTCGTTCCACAGGGTTCAAATACCCGCAAACCTTCCCGCAAAGGATGGAAATAACAAGCGTTTTTACAAGCTGACCGAAAACATGGCGACTGTAATCAGTCGACGTATCCAGCAGGGGAAGGACGAAACAGTGGTCACACCTGATATTGTGGCTGGTAACCTCTCAGATTCGAAGGAGAGCGTTCCAACTATATCTGCTGTGGGACTCAACCTAGGTGCCCCTGCCGATGAAAAGAAGTTTTGGTGGCAGCGACGTCGAGACTACAACCCTGATGCCATCGCCACTCTGCCATCTGTGTTTGACGATCCGGAAACTGCCAAAACACTATCAGCCTCGTGCGGATTGGGAGAATCTTCGCCGATTTGACCCTTCCGCAAGATGGACCTGGCGGGAGGAGTATGCTGTCCTACGAAAAGTCGACGTCAGGATCATGATATTTGCCTGTGTTATGTTTATGGCTCTTGAGCTCGACGGGGCCAACTTGACCCAGGCCGTTACCGATAATTTCCTAGGCGATCTCGAGATGAACACAAACGGTGCGTTATACCCTGCTTGTTGGCAGTTGACGCAGGCCCTGACCACGAACAGACTACAACTGGGGGAATACGGTTTTCAAGCTCAGTTTCCTTTGTGCCGAGCTCCCATCTCAACTCGTTTCCAAGTGGATGGGCCCCCGATCGCTGGATTCCTACACAAATGGTTCTCTGGTCTATCGTCGCAGCTTCACAGTTTTGGCTGTCAGGTTGATCAAGTTTCTTGGTGTGCAGAAGCCTCCTTGCGCTCCTGCAAGGTGGATTTATCCCTGACGTAGGGGCCCTGTCCCTTTGGCACCCGCCGAACCAAACTAACACTTTGGAAAGATGATCCTCTACCTTTCTTATTTCTACAAGCACGGTGAGCTTTCTCTTCGACTCGGATTCTGGTGGACTGCTATGTCTATTGCCGACATTGTCGCCAGTTTTCTGGGCTTTGGCCTGCTTCATCTTCGAGGGCATCTTGGCTATGCTGGTTGGAGGTGGCTATTCCTCGTTGAAGTGAGGACCCTCGGTATCCATATCTACCAGGACACTGTACTTACTCCATCCTGGGGACTTTTCACCTTGATCCCCTGCCTCGTCACCTTCATCTTAATGCCTCCAAGACCCTGTCAAACGGCGAACTGGGCCAGAGGTAAGAAAGGGTGGTTCACAGAGCGGTGAGTGATTTTGGATCTCGTCTTCAGCTTTCGGACTGACAGAATTGATAGAGAGGAGACGATCATGGTGAACAGAATCATTCGGGAAGACCCGAGTAAGATTTCGATGCATAATAGGCAGCCCATCACCCCCAAGCTCCTGTGGCAGAGTCTTTCAGACTATGATCTTTGGCCACTGTATCTGCTTGGGTTGAACTTCCAGACTCCGATGAGTACGTTTGCTCCACGCTGTCAACAATTTCTTCACCAATTTGCTAACTGATACAGCTACTCCAACACAGTACCTGACGCTATCGTTGAAGCAGCTGGGATTTGACACCTTCAAGACCAACTTGCTTGTGATCCCATCTCAAGTCGGCCACATCATTACAATGCTCCTGTTCACTTACTTGGCTGAAGTGGTTGGTCAGCTCTGGCTTTTCGGTCTGCTGGCACAGTTGTGGGCACTACCATTTCTCGCCTATATCTACGCGATCGACATCAATTCCATCGACAAATGGGTGGCATTCGGCGTTATGACGGTCCCTCTTTCATACCCCAGTGTCCATGCAATTCAGGTGGGATGGAACTCCAGGAATTCCAACTCTGTTCGAAGTCGGACTGTCAGTGCCGCTTTGTATAACATGGCCTGCCGAAGCTCCGGTATTATTGCAAGCAACATTTATCGAGAAGGTGAGTATTATGATCCGGTGGAGTTGTCTCCAGAAATGACTCACCATACTTCTTAGACGACCGGCCTCGCTATCGCCGTGGAAATCGTGCGCTTGTCTCGATTTGCGCAATGAATGTCGGACTCTATATTTTTGCAAAGGCATACTATGCTCTGCGCAATAGGTACCGAGACAAAGTCTGGAACAGCATGACTGAGGACCAGCGTGCCGAGTATCTTGCAACAACAACAGACAAGGGAAATAAGCGCTTGGACTTTCGTTTTGCAAGTTGAAGCAGGCGGGAAGCTGGTGTCAGCTACTAGGCATTGAGTGTGGTTCACGACCACAAGATGCCAACGTGCGATCCACGTTTCCTGACCCACAGATACCAAGATTTCCACAATAGAACAGAGTAAACCCCCAAGGAAGAGAGGAGATAGGGAGTCGAATGGGGATTGCCGGATAGACGAGCAGATGGGTAGACGGTGTGTGTGTCAGATGTCAGGTGTGTAGGCGAGGATGGCGAAGATCAAAAGAGTTGACGTTGGAACTAACTACTTCGAACCAATGGCTACAAATGCCCTGATAACAGAATTTGTGTTTTTTGATTCGTTGACTCCAGGAACTACTCAAGGCAAACAAACCTATACCCTGGTGTCTCCCTTGTTCTCGTGCACACAGCTTCCATCAACGGATTCGATGTATTTTCAACGACAAGCCTCTGATCACAAGGGTGATCAGCCAAACTTAGTGGCTCAAATTCTTTCATCACGCCATCTGCAGCCAGCAAGCAGTGTTTTGTTGGATGGCAGTTGTGCAATCCGCACACCAGCTGACGAGATACCTCACCCTTGCTTGCCCTCCAATCCGAGGTTCTACAATATCGCGCAATGAATTCGAAAATGTGGATACCGGCTCGCAATGCGTGCAAACTCGAGTTCTTTCTCGCCTAGGACATTGACAATGTGATTGCAGGTTACCGAAGATTGGGCAGCATTCCGTCGAGGCGCATTGATACGAGGCTGGTCCCAGACAGATACCTGCACAACCCCCCCGGTGTCCAGGGTACGATCCTCTTCTGCACTTCTAGACTTCCTCTGGGCTGAATGATATGACGCGATTCTGGCACCAAAACTCGTCAGTCTTGCTCAGCAATCGTCCTTTTATGTATTTGTTTCACCCAAGAATGCAGATAGCAAAGTCAATCGGGTATCGGCAGCGAATGTTTCCAGATGAACATGGAGGATAATGAGATGAACATGTGGAGGAAGTTACTATATCATTGGAGTTCTTCCCAGGAATTTTATTCTTTCTTCCCGACATGCCTCCCTACTCTTCTTTGGCTAGGACTGCCTCTCACAGACGACATATCAAAAGATATACTAGAAGTATTATTCACCTGATATTTTAAAAACCATGGCCCCCCCAGCGGCTGACGTTGACCTGGTGTCCAACGTCCCTGCATCTGCCACAGTAACGAAAGCTGATACCACGAATCGCCTCAAAGAGCCACTCGTTTACTCAGGATCCCTCGACCAGTACAAGTCCTTCGACGTCACCAAGGTCATTGGCAGGGAATTCCCCGAGTTGCAACTCAGTGATATCCTGAACGACGACAACAAGATCCGCGATTTGGCCATCACCGGTTTGCCAAACCAGGCTAAGAACAAGGGCATAGGACTAACAATTTTCAGTGTCACAACGTGGCGTTGTCTTCTTCCGGAACCAGGACCTCAACATTGAAGACCAAAAGATACTCGGACAAAAACTCGGCGAACTCACTGGAAAGCCCGAGTCATCCAAAGTACTTTCACTTCGAGTTCCCACCGGAGGATAGATTCATGGCTAATGTCGACTGCTCTTTAACAGCTCCATCGTCATGCCCTCAGCAACAGCAAACGAGGCATTGCCGTGGACGAAAACGGAAAGCTAGATGACGAAGTCTCCGTCATCTCTTCTGAAGTATGTTCGATTCAGATCATCCGAACTCCGCCTCTGTTCCCCATGGCTAATGATCACACAACTTAAAACAGCAAAACCGCAAATTCTACAAGGATCGTTTCACCGGCAACTCCAAGAGACTGGCGAGTGAAGGCTGGCATGCAGAGTGAGTGATCTCGGACTCGGACAATCTCTACCAGGTCATTGAGTTCCCCCTTTTTCCAACGTACAGCATCACCTTCGAACGCATCCCTTCCGATTATGCAATTCTCAAAATCATCAAGAAACCCGAAGACGCTGGCGGTGACACGTTGTGGGCATCCGGCTACGAGGCATATGACCGTCTATCGCCGGAATTCCAGAAACTGGCTGAAGGGTTGACTGCCACCCATTACCAGCCAAACTTTGTCGATGTCGCCAAAAAATTCGGCGAGGAACTTATTGAGCAAGACCGCGGAGCTCCAGAAAATACCGGAATTGACTTTACCGCCACTCAGTACGTGATGTCCCCACACATGCATCATGCATCTACATAACACACTTTCCCTTTTCATTTTTTTCGCCCGGTTTTTCTTTTTATCCCCCTTCCGTCCTCGAGCTAACCTCTTATTCCCCTTTGAAGTCCCGTTGTCCGGACCAACCCTGTGACCGGATGGAAGAGCCTGTTCGGCGCCGGCCACCAGATCGAACGAGGCTGGATCGATAACGTGACTTTCCGAGAGAGCGAGATTTTGAAAGCCTACTTCTTGCAACTGATCACCGACAATCATGACCTGCAAGTCCGTTTCCGCTGGAACGAGAACGATTTAGCCATCTGGGATAACCGCTCGGTCTTCCATACTGCGACCAACGATTACGATGGCAAAAGACAGGGGAACCGTGTGGTCTCGCTTGGTGAAAAGCCTTATTTCGACCCAAGGTCCGTTTCTCGTCGTCAGGCTCTGGGTGTCGCTTGATCATCGGCCGGTCAAGTCATACACTCTAAATTCCACCAAGAAAATGGAACAGTCATCACGTAGATACCACCGATCATGGAACAAAAAAATTCAAATCAATATCTATATGTATAGCTGACGAGCCGTCGTGAAACCTGACCTTCGTCCATTTCTTTTTTCTTGCATCAGTGCCAACACGGGTAGGCTTCAGTAACCTGAAGTTTTCTCACTTAGTAAGGGTTGATGTTTCTATAATCTGCAGACACTCTCTAGACAAGTTCAGCCCATGCTGCTCCACCTCTGGGTCCAACGTCGACCTCGACCCCATTCAGTGAAGACGAAAAAGACTTGACATGCCTAGGGCCCTCACTTTCAAGGATATACCCTTTCTCACATTTGTCGAAGCGGACTCTCTCCTGCTGAATCTCGTAGAAATCATCATATCTCGAATCAAGTGCGTCGTGCAAATTCTTCACGTTTCCAGTAGGGTGAAGGACTTCCCAGGGATGAGTACAGCTTCGTGCTTTGCAGGTTTTGAGGACCAAGACCAGCGAATCTAACCGAGACAGGAGATGATGTATTGTTGTTTTGGTCGTTGTTGTTTTGGTGCTTGTCGCGGATCTTGACCGTCGGATGCCAGTGTGGGTGTCTTCTTCTCCCGCAGATCTAGACATCGCCGCAGATGCGAAGTGATATGCGGAGAAATGGTTCGATTTGTACAGATTTTTCGTCTCGTAAGGATCGTTCTGGAGTGACTTATTGTTAGTGTTGGGTCTGAAGGTAAGCACCAGGGCCACCCGCCTGGTTCTCTAGGGTAAGGTGGATAACGAAGTCAGGTCCAAGGAGAAAAAGAGAACCAAAAGAAACAGAAACCAACAATTAGATCGTAGAGCTCATGTTCACCATTGCACCAGACGCTGTAATAAAAGTTATAGTTGTTGCCAATTAATCTGAGCCCTTTGTAGGTGTTGTTCCAGATCATTCTCTGGTCATATTTACCCTCTGCCAGTGCAAAGCCCCAGTACTCGATATTGACATGTTCTCCTCGAGCATCGTCGCTAAGCCCAAGTTGTTGGGCGCCGACGTCCACGCTGGGCTTCTTTTTCAAAGGGATCGCGGTCCCGTCAAAGTCGGGACGAAGATCTGCCCCGGCCAACGATAAGAATGTCGGGGCTAAATCCGTATGAGACGTTACAACGGTGCTGACTTGATTTTGGGGTACACCTGGGCCCCGTATGATCAATGGCACGTTGATGTCCTCTTCAAAGCCACATTCTTTGCCCGGCTGTAGACGATGTTGGCCGATGTGATAGCCATTGTCACTCGAGTAGAATATATAGGTGTTGTTGAGAATTTCATGCTCGGCCAAACGGGTGACGACACCATCTACTATTTCATCCACGGCCTGGAGGGCGCGTAGACGGTTCCGGTAAAACTCGTCATTGAAGTCGACCACGGTCTGGTTCTGTCTAGGAAGGCGACTGACCCAGGAAACACCATGAGGCTGCCATTCTCTTTAGTTGAATCGCACTCGATTGGTTCATTAATGACTACTTGCCTCTTTGGGATTAAAGCCGGGGTTTCGAGGGACGACAGCATCTTGAAATAAATGCTTGTGTCGTTCTGCCGGAATCGGAGGGGTTGTAGTTACGGCATGAGTCGAAGAGTTACCGTTGAACCAATCTTCCTTAAATTTGACGTTGCTATGCGGAGCATTGGGTGCAATGGCTAAGAAAAAAGGCTTCTGCTCGGCAATGGCATCTTCCAGGAAGCCATATGCTTTGCCTGCAAGGACATCGGTTGAATACTCGCCCTCGTGGCTAACGGGGGATTCTTGGTTTCGCTGAAAGCTAGCGTTCAAGTACTCATAGGTGTATGGGTCAAGAAGAAAGTCAGAGCCAGTAAAGCCCGCGGGAAATGGAGAATTGTAGTTTTCCAAGCTGTGGGCGTTGAACAGTTTGCCGGTATAGTAGGTGTTATAGCCGGCGTTTTGTAGCCAGATCGGAAGCCAGGCTTCGTTGAAACCCTGGCCAACGAACTTGGGGTATCCGCCTAATTGGCCAATCAGTCGGGGTCATATGTGATCGCATCAAAATTGAACTGACCGTACGGTGGATTGACATCGGTGACATTGGTATTGTGTGCGGCCCTACCTGTCCACAAGCTCACACGCGACGGGCAACATAGGGCAATAGTACAGTAATGACGCTGGAACAAGGTGCCACGGTCGATGAGATTCTTCTTCACATGTGGCATGTAAGAGAGGGAGTCCAAATGAAGGTCCTGATCGTCGGTTAAGATAAAGACAATATTCGGTCTGCTCCCAGTTGTCGGGCCAGATTCGAGAGGTTGCTGAAGTTGGCTCCCCAAGACATTAGGAACGACATTCGCCGAGCTTCCAGCCAGGAGCAGGATGGAGTATTTCCACCAAGACAATTGATTCATCGCTCATAGACACCTGGTGCTGTCTGTGTCTGTTCCTGTTCCTAGAAAGGGCCGCGTTGGGTGCGAGCGAGAGATGGCCAACGGATAACACCGTGCGAGTGATCTATAAATTGGGGCTAGCTCGGCCACTGAGGGGAGTCTGGATCAAAAACTTCTGAGTCTTTCATAGGCAGGTGAAAAAACTGTGGTACGGTAGCATGCATCGAAGATTGGCAAAGTCGTGATGGGGCAGAATTCTTGCGTGATCGACCATGACTCCAAATCTTTGAATGTCTGGCAATGCCGATACCCACAAATTTGTGCGAATTTTTGTAGCCTGATAATCTGTAGTTAGTTAATGATGACTGAATCATACTTCAGACGAAGTCACGACACCTTTCTGACCTTAGCTACCACCCGTGTAGATTGAGTCGACTCCGAGGAGGGCAATGGATGATGCCGATGTGGCTGAGACGACAAGGCTGTTGCCGCCGGAGTCCGTCACCGAAAGCCCGCCGGAGGAAACGTACGGGGTCTTCTTACGAAGACATTCTTCTTCTTGCCTTCCCTCTTATTATGACAACGAGCCCGTATTGGACGGGCCAGACGAGCCAAGGTCGGCGCTGACGATCTGGACCATCGTTCCTGTATCGCTACTTGGTACGCCGCAGAATATCTCATCTTCATCTGATCGGACATTCTAACGGCGCAGGCGTCTTTGTCGCCAATCTCGATGGATCTCTTGTGGTGGCCTCGAGCCAACAAATAGCATCCGAGTTCCATTCTCTGTCTCAGGCATCATGGCTGATTACCTCGTTCGTCCTTGCACAATGTGCCAGCCAGCCATTGGTAAGGATCGTTGCAAACCCATCGTGGATCGCTACTTATGATCAAACTGTAGTACGGAAAACTGAGTGATATCTTTGGCCGCCGAAGTAACCTCACTGCCGCGTACGTTTTCTTTGCAACAGGATGCTTCCTCTGGTAAGACCAGAACCGCTGAATGGCAAACGAACAAAGTCTAATGAGATGCAGCGGCATCAGCAGAGCCTACTGGCAAGTCCTGGCCGGTCGAGCTATATCGGGCATCGGAGGAGCCGGGATGGCAGCACTGGTATCCATCATCATTGCTGGTTCGAGATAGTATCTCCATTGTCATATTTTTCATCCATTTAACGCGTTTTCCAGATGTGGTGCCAGTCCGAGAAATAGCGAGCTGGAGAAGCTATGTCAATGTCGCTGCGACCGTGGGAAGAGCTCTCGGCGGCCCCGTGGGTGGCTGGCTTTGTGATATGGTAGGTTGGAGGTGGTGTTTTTATGGACAGGTACCTCCGACGCTGCTCGGTCTCATCCTCATTCTGTGGAGGCTGCCAAACAGACCGTCTAAAGAGCAAACCCTGGAAGAAGATGGGTCCCTCTTACAAAAAGTGACAAGGGTGGACATGGTTGGTGCTTTCGTGCTCGCCGTGGCAATCAGCATCTTCCTGCTCACTCTGCACTTTGCGAACGAAAACGTATCCCTAGTCAATATCCTCGTCTTGGTCGTGCTGGGTATCATTTCGGCCTTCCTGTTCTACCTCATCGAGCGCCGGTGGGCCAAAGAACCGATATTGCCTATTGAACTCGTCACGAAACGAGCTGCTCTGTCGTCCTACATTCTGGCGGGCTTTCAATTGGCGGCGCAATTCAGTCTTTTTTACTCAACGCCGCTCTATTTCCAGATTGTGTCTGGCTCCAGTGTCGGCGACTCCGGCCTTCGACTTGTTCCTGCCGTTGCGGGGAATGCCATAGCAGGCCTCTTGTCAGGATACGTTATCTCCCAGACAGGCAGATATAAACTTCTGACGATCCTGTCAAATCTCGCCGGATGTGTGGGTTATGTTTTGGTTCTCCTGCGCTGGCGTGGGAACACCAATTGGGCTGAGACGCTGTATATATCGTTTGGTGGTTTTGCCTCAGGAGCAAATCAGTCTACGACCTTCATTCATCTTGCGGCTAGTTTAGATCCGAGTGAGATTGCAATTGCTGGTACAACACTTTATCTGTCTCAAAGTCTGTTCCTCCTTGTTGGGATCCAGCTTGCCACTGCCGTGTTGCGCGCACGACTAAGGATCAATCTCAACACCTCATTGAAAGGTATCAAGCATCAAGCAAAGGTCTGTTCCTGGCTCATTTACCGACAAGAATGTCATTGAGCTAACAGACAGACATAGATTATCGAGTCGGCCATCTCGAGCGTTGGATCTGTCAGGAAACTTCCGCCACACGTTAGAGAAATTGTGATTCAGGCATACGTTGACGGACTCAGCGGAACCTTCTGTCAGTATGAAGGCTTCTCGAACACCGGATGTATATTGACGTTTTTTACGCAGGTATATCTGTAATATTTTCCGTCTTGGGTCTGGTGGTTGGATTATCACTCCAAGAACGCAGACTATGACGGTGATGCGAGGCCCAAGAACATTCATTGTATTCATTTTCTTGAAAGTCTTATGGCAGGTTATCGGCCTTTCTGAAATCACAGGGCACACCGTGGGAACTTACCTGGTTGCCGGCCAACCGAATCTTGGTGGACTTTCACTGGCTGGCTTATTCTCGTTCAATATGCATTCGACTCGGCTTCGCATAAAGGCACTCTGGAAACTGTTACTCATAAAAGAATAAAAATTGAGCAGATGGAAAAGGCAAGACTGGGGAAGATTGCGGCGTTTCAATGACCATGCAAATCCATAAAAGGCTTTGTTTCTATCTCCCTTCTTCTTCAAAAGTGGAGATTCTATAGCTATCACTGACATAGGCTTTCCCCCCCCCCAACATAGTCTCATCCAGTTCGATGCTTATGACAAGCATTGTCGTCACATTCTAACCTTTGCTCATGTAGACAGGATCCTCTGATGTGTCCGACTCTTCCTTCAAGAAGCAAATCTAAAATCCAATCTTTTATTTCCCTTATCCTTGGTGGTGGCTAGGTAATTGACTCTCTCTTCTCTGGTCATGGAATACCAGATTTTATCTCTCTGCGCATTTTTGCGGACGTAATACACCTTGGCAGCAACAAATGCTACGATGTTCCACGCGAGAATGCCCAACAAGACTTTGTTGCCTCGGTAGTAGTATGGCTTGTCGTCATTGCGATAGATTTGAGATGCAATGATGTTGGACGTTTGAACAGCCATGTTATAAAGTGAGGAGCCAACAGTTCGTGTCCGTACTGTCCCCGAATTCCGAGACGTAAGAGCGACAAGTATGGCGTGGATATAGGGAAAGCCGACCAAGAGGGTCGACAGAACCCATTTCACCCAATCAGAGTTGTCGAATATGGGGGGGAGGGCCACCAAGGCGATGAGAAGAGGCAAAGCCCATATTTGCGAGATCACGCCCAGGAGCAGTCTCTGGTTGATCTTCTCTGAGACCCAGGTCCAGAACAGCAGCTGGAGGATGAAGAGGACATAGGCTGGAATGGTGAGCAGGTTGGTTTGGAAGGTGTTGAAGCCCAAGGCTTTGCAGGTCAAGGTAATGTAGGCTTGCGGAGGAGTGTGGGGAATGGTCCATGAAAGACCAATGATATAGATGGGCCACATGTCGTAGTCAGTAAGGGAATCCACAAAGAGCTGGAAGCTGAGGCCCTGACGATTGTGCATGGTGGATTTACCCGGGTCATCACGAAGAATACGGGTGACCATGATGGTCTCTTCGCGTTCAGTAAACCAGCCCTGTTTCGGTCGCAGGAGACCTTTGACACCGCGACGGGCCGTTTGAGTGGGTGATGCGGGTAGGTACAGCCAGGTAAAAATTCCAATCAAACCAGTAAGGGAGCCTTCGATGGCGAAAAGGTATCGCCACCCTTCTTTCAATCCACCGTCCCCTCTAAGGTGAAGGATCCCGTAGGCTAGAAAAGCTCCAACGACTTGGGTGGATTGGTACGACGTCCAGAACCAACTAAGTCGTTTGGGCAGTTCCGCGTTCTTGTAGAAGTAGCTCAAATAAAGAATAGTGTCGGGAATGAAGCCACCTTCAATGAGGCCGAGGAGGAAGCGGCAAATGTAAAAGCTCGTTCTACCTGACAAGGCCGCTTGAGACGCCGCGACGATGCTCCATGATACCATCTGTATTGGGATCCAAGTGTCGGGGCCAAGCTTCTTGCTAATGAGCTGGGATGGAAGCTCCGCGAACAGAAATGAACAGTAAAAGATGGTCATGCCGTTGTTGTAGTCGTTGGTGGTAAGTTCGAGGTCATCTGAAGGCCGTTAGCACTTGACCCAGCCGTTCAAATATCCAAGCGCCTTACTGAGCATGTCGTCGGAAAGTGCTTGAGTGATGTTGCCGCGATCAAGTTGGAGTGCGAAGAACATAATACATGCTGGAAGAGCAATGCGCCAGTCGAGCTGATGTGAGGGTCAGCCCTGGTCAGTTGGATATTTGCGATACGCACCTTTCGGACCAAAATCTTCTCCTCCGCCTGGGTCCATGTCGCGTGGATATCGAAACGATGGGTACCCTCAAAGCCCTCGACTGGTTTGTACAGCTCGGCCGCTTCTGGAGCGGTGAACACATTATTCTCATTCTTGACCACATGCGAGCCGTCCGAAAGGTCAATGGATGTAGTTTCCGAATCGACCGTACTGTCGACATCGACGGCAACATGGCTGATATCCTTCCCACCGAGCGTCCACCACCTCTGGGGCTTTATTCTCTTCCCACTTTCTATCTTGGAGTCCTCCAAGGAAGTTGGGAAAGTGTCGAGCACGTCCGATTTGCTCATTTCGACGGCTTGGGAGCTGTTCTGGGGTGCTGCGGAGAAGTAAACAGGAAGCCTTGGTGATAGACCGGGGAAGGTTCCTTACGAAGCGGTTTATATCGATAATTGCGCCCATTGAAACGGCTTTCTCCCCCCAAGAGTGGCAAAATTGGCCAGTCACCCATGTCACCGTTTGGCACGAAAATGACGGTTCGCGCCGATATCCTCTGAAGGGGGGTCGAATCAAGTTCGAGACAACCTTTAGGCTTGAAAAATATGCTGACGCAGAGGGTGGCTGTCTACGTTCCTCAAAACCTAGAACGTGGTTACAAGAGATGTTCAGGTCCTTGGTGGCCGATTGCGTGATTGAGTGGGATGCGACATGTACACCATCAGTGGAGCTTGATGGATCTTGGGGCAGCTTGGGTTGCAGATATAGGCTTGGAAATTAATGATATTTTGTCCAAAGGATGTGCAGACTTTTACATCGAGTTGTGTTGGCCCTGGTAGAATCCGATACACTCTGGCCAAGTTGCAAGCGTCAGCCAAGCTTGGACGGTGCCGATATAGAAAGAGAGCCCAAGAACATGCCGCACAGTCGGCCCAGAACATGACACGACATAAATAGAAGCAAGTATTGCCCGGGCTGAGGTCTGGGAACCGGCAGCAAGCCCAGAGGGCGATATAGAAGTTGAGTTTGTCGAAGTTGGAGCTTGCGAAAGGCCGTTCCCGGATTACCGCACATCGGTACACATGTGGCATCAGAATGTTTCACGCAGGTAAAGGTGCTCGAGTGAGATACAGTATACTGTGAATCGCCTTGGATGCTTCGAGTTTCTTGAAACTCATCTCAATCAAGGCCGGCCGCAAGATATCCCACAACTCCATAAACAGCGATTATGCCAAATTTCCATCAATCACGCTCATTCTCAGACAATGGCATCAGCAAGATCCATGACCCAATCCAACAATTCTTCTTTGATCCATGAAAATGTTGTCAGTCTGGGTACACTTGCACTGCTCCTCTTACCTATCTCATCACGTACGTTTGACGCAATTGCTGGGGGACATCGCGCCATCTGCATCCCCGCTTTATCAGGAGTTGAATCACGCCATCGACAGGATGACGGTTTGATATCGGTTTGATATTGAATAGAGATCTATTGGGACAAAGAAACGCTGTTGATGCATCAGCTCGTCAGCCGCATCCAGCTACGACTAGATATGGGGAACCTTATCAACTTGGATGTGTCTCCTGTTTGTATTAATTCAAACAAGTCTATACCTAAGTTACTGAGCTCCCCTTTCGACTAGCCGCAAGCTTGGAAAATCCCTGTTACCCAGAATGGCCCATCTGGAAGCTCGTAAACATATTTCGCCTGATTCAGGATTCCCGATCACACTGCACCCTGCCTTCAATCCCAAGATTAATTCTCATCAGCCACCGGAACCTGTGCGAGATGAAGTCTTCCCAGAAAAAGACCGAGCATTCTTTGCAGATCCAGAAAAAAGATCACTGCTCTCTGTGGCCAAGCGCGTAGACCTTACTGAATCCATTGGAACCGTACTCGAGAACGTCCAGCTTTCTCAGTTGAATGATAAGCAGTTGGATGAACTTGCATTACTGGTGGTCGAGCGAGGCGTTATTTTCTTCCGGAATCAAGACCTCACCACGGAGCAACAAGTTAAGCTCTTTGAACACTATGGCGTCCTTGACAGACATCCAGCCCAGAAGGTTGGTTCGGCTGCCATCCAAACTTTTACACCGTTGACGCTTATGGTTTCAGGATCAAAGGACCCCCGTGATGGACGAGCTCTATCATCAAAGGGAGCCGGGAAGATCATCGCGAGATCCTCTCTTATACACCCTGGGTCAGTCTAGTTCTGGGGAATTGGGTTGACGCTGACTTGGACATGATAGCCTTCAGGAGATTTCCATGCGGACACTTCTTTCGAGATCAACCGTAAGGTCCACTCCCTTCAAACACTCTGGCGACGTGCTGATGAATGTATTCCTGAAGCGCCATCATATTCACTTCTTAGGATGGAGGAGCATCCAGACGTTGGAGGTGACACTGCGTGGGTGAGTTTGACAGACAAACCAGCACATTCTTCATATCTTGGTCACTGACATATTAGGTAGGTTTCGCAGTACGGCCTGTACGACGCTCTGAGCAAAGCGATGAGGAGTTTCCTGGACGGCCTCCACGCCGTACACACCTCGAGGCTTCAGTGTACGGCGAGACCCCTTCGGCCAGAACTTCCCACCCTTAATTGACTTCATTAGATGACACGATTCTTGACCTCTGGGGAGTCGGTCCAAACCGGCCTCCTATTGACACTCATCATCCCGCTGTCCGAACACACCCGGTCTCCGGCTTGAAGGCATTAAACGTCAACCCGGGTTTCGTCACCGGGTTTGCCGAGCTCAAGAAAAAAGAATCTGGTATAGGAGGGCATGAATCTCTGAGGAGTCATAATGCTAATTGATTCTCGTGGCCTCAGACAAGCTCCTTGAATTCCTCGATTACCACATCCATTCAGCAGACGACCACTATGTGCGTTGGAAATGGGCGGTAGGCAGCGTTGCAATGTGGGATAATCGGTATTCTCCTTTTCTTTTATTTTGTGTTTTGCAACACACTCACCACAATGACCTCAGATGCACTCTCCACCGCGTTATCCCTGGCACCTATGAGGGTCCGAGAAAGGGAATCCGGACCACGGTATTTGGGGAGAAGCGTAAGTATTCATGACCATCTCATGCCCTTTGCCACGTCGCATGTCACCCAAGTTTTCGTGCTGATTGTCTATTTCCTGAAGCATATTTCGACCCGGCCAGTGAGAGTCGCAATGAGCGTGCACTACGGCTGGAGGAAGCTGCGACTTCTGGATCGGCCGAGGGTGACAAGGCTGCCAAATCTGATAAAGTTACCGAGAGATTTCTCCACCTCCCATCCTCTCCGACTTCTCCATTTTGTTCACACAAAGACAATGCTACCCCGGAAATACGAATATAATGAAGCTAAGCAGGAACCTAGAGCCTTGCGTCATATCATGATGATTACGGCCCTTTTGTCTTCGAATCACTGACACTGGAACGAAAAGGACTGGTAGTCCTCATTCTGTTCCATTCTCAACTACAATCATCTCCACATCGCACCAACAAAAGGAGGTCAGAGCGCTGGAGTTAAGCAATCCAAGCCCTACAGTCGGGCGAAACCTAGCTCGAAAGACAACCCCAAAATATCCACCGGAAAGCCGCAAAAGAAGAACATATATAAAGCCGTCTTCAAACCCGGTTCCGAACTCCTTGAAAAGAAAGACATAAAGACAATGCCTCCCTCCGGCCTCGCTATCCTGATGGACGCCTGCCCTACTACTAGCTCCGGTGCCGCCCGAAGCCTTACACACCTGGCCAAAAGAACCTCCTCGTTGCCTCCCTTTCGCGCAGTCGAGACATGTCGCCCATGGCGCGAATCCGAAAGCGAGCGTACTTCGCGCGTTTAGCACGGGCAGGTTTGACGACAGCCTAGGCCGCATACCACCAGAGAACGAAGCGTGTGCCTCGGGCTTGGACTAAAATATAAGGCTAAAGCTGGCGATCCGGAGATCAAACACAGCCACCAGGTTCCCTTCGAAGACGAATCGCCCGCAAAATTCGCGGATAATTTGAACACAAGCGTAGGGGGTGCAATGATCTTTAGCCAACAGTGTCTGAAAAGGATACTGGCACAGAGTGAAAGGGGAGACACTGCAAGAGTTCATGTGTGGGATATGAGGCTTGCAGGGGGAGAAGTTTTAATGATCAAAATAAGGAGACCAAGGGGACACATGGATAGGATTTGCGTGGGAAGCGGCTTTCAGCGACAAAGGCATTTTGATATTCTTTCTGCATACCCAAGCCTCTCACAACGATAACTCCATGCTCAAATGGCGGAGAAAACTTGCCCCGTTCCGTCCATCGGATTCGAACACAGAAACGCCAAATTACCAATTAACCACATCATGTAACAGCAATCTCTGAACATCTGCTCAAGAGTCCCTTGCGTGCAGCGACCGCATAAATGACCCGTAACTGTTACTCATAGAGCTGGATAGAGAATCTGTCTCCGAAATCCTCTCGCGGAGGATATCTTGGCCCGTAGGAGCGATCAAGGGCTTCTTTGACAACGGTGTCGAGTATGTTGAGGACGTGGTGGACGTTGTTGATGAACGCCTGGAAGATGAAGATGGAGTAGTAGATTGAAACATCACCGATGCAGAGCTTGGAGCTGAGTTCATGGAGAGGACAGATTTTCTAGCGAAGAATGCTGATGCCATTGTTGAGGGTTGATGCTTGAAGTGGGGATTGCTTGCTGTATTTGTCTTGTGTAGAGGGTTCCACATATATTTCTGCTGGAAACTTGCCGAATGTCGCCTTCTCATGGGTCAAAATTCAAATTTGGCAGATTTTTCAAGAGTCTACCCGACAAGACTTCTAGAGAACTTTATATATCAATCAATAACTTACCCTAGCCAAAGGAGGGGGGGTTTTCATCTATCCCATTGAGATGGTGTGGCAGGGCCCACCTCAACCCGTATCCATCTCTTGTGGGCAACATGCCTTATCCGCAGCGAACCAAGTGCAAAGCTGACAAGCGCACTAACACACAATACACACAACCCGAACACGAACACATGGTCCTCTCTCTTTCCTCAGGTGTTCTCTCAAGCCAGCCACGGGTGACAATCCGAAAAAGGGCTGCTGCGCAAGTGCTGACGGGGCGCGGTGAAGGGGAGAAAAGGAGTAACGATCTCCGCAGAGGGTTTGCTAAACACGTGGAAAAGCCGTCAAGGAGACAAAAGTCCGTCCACCGCCTGAAAGTGGGGGCTGACAGAGGTAGAGAGGCTCCTCGAGAGCAAAAGATCACGGTGAAGGAACAGGTTTCATTGACCTGTCAGGCAAGCTGAATCATGCAGAGAAGCCACACCTCAAGAGTAAGCAGCAGGGAGCGACGGAGGAGATGATTGGAGGAAAAAAATGTCGTCCAGTTTAGGGCTGGTAGCCTGCAGAACTGATTAAACGAAAAGTCGAAAGCCTCTTTGGATTTGTCCTGCCCATTTCGTCTTTTATCCTATCAGCTAATGAGATGATCTCCTTCGCCTCGGTTTCGACGACAAAGGTACAATAAAGGAAACGCGACGTCGTTGACATTGACATTCTCTTTTCCAGCTTGAGAGGAAACGCTATTACCTTATCGGTCTATTGCATGAGGGTATCTAAAAGGTTGCAACTATTTCTATTCATCCCGTCATGAGCTCGTGATGTTACAGGTCCGACTAACTCCAGCCACTGGAAAGCGATATCGCAATCTAGGGAATGTGAATGGCTACCAAGGTGCATCTTGGATGACACCTCATTGCTGTGAAGTCCTCGCAAGTTTCTCCAGAATGGACAACACCCCTGAAACATGTCAGTACGGGACCATGAAAAGGAAAATCTATCAGCTACACTCACCAGTTACACCTTGAGTCAACGTGGCCGATGCTTCTGTGCTTCTGGCACCTAAAGTCACCGTCACCACATCTCGAACCTTCCCAGCCTTCTCTAGTCGATGGGCCCAGTTGAACACATACTCGTCTTCTCTCGAGTCTCCGATAACCATGAGGAAATCCGGTCGTGGTTCGCCCGTTTCCTCTTTCAACTTTTCAAGCTTGTCGTTGATAAACTGGGCTGCCAATCCCTTGTTGACATCCATTTCCGAAATAAACAATCCGTCCTCAATGGGCACGGCACTGACATGCTGTCCTCGGCAGGCATCATTGATATGATTGGCGCATTCACCGGCTTGTTTGAAGGCACTGGGCACATCATCTGCCTCCGTGTAGTCGAAGATTAACGATGAATGTCGTTCCTCCATTCTGCTTCCCTCGATTCTGTCCACATAGTATTGAAGAATGCTCTTAACCCCGTTCTTCCACGTTTTGGCATGTTCGAGGTTGGTCAATTCCTCCCATTCGTCCGAGCCTGGTTCCATGACAAACCCACCATTTTCTGCGATCATGCCAATACCGGTCACCGGACTGAACAGTCTCTCCATTTCCTCGGGCATCCTGGAGCTCATAACATACACAATATTCTTCTTGTCCTCAATCAGATCGTTCAGGACATCCACGGATCGTTTGGGAGTGGTCAAGATAATATCGGTGGGGGAGCCCCACGATGCCAAAGTCCCTTCATAGTCAAGGATGATCAAACGTTTCGACGCCTTCCGATATTTTGACCTGACCGCAGAGAGGGACAATCGCGGAACTGAGGTAGAGTCGCGGATAGAATGTTCCTTCCACGCGTGATTCAAGGCCTTGACGTACAACTCGAACCAACCAATGGCGTTCTGGTTGACGACAGTATCGTACATGGCTTTCCAGCGTCGCTCTCGTTCTTGGGGGGACATATCAAGAGCTTCTTTGATCGCGTCGGCACACTGGCTGTAATGCCATGGGTTGATCAGGATCGCATCGTGTCCAAAGACGGTGCCGGAACCCGTGAACTCACTAAGGATCAACGGGCCGTGCTTGGTGTCGGTGACTTGGCCATCCTGACAAACGATAAATTCGTGACTGGTCAGGTTCATTCCTTCTCGCAAGCTGGTAATCATCAAGCATTCCGCCACGGTGAGAAGAGCCAAATATTGGGCGAAATCGATATCTTGCTTCAAGAACACAAGGGGCTGATGGGCCAGGGTGGAATGAGTGGAATTGACGCGAGTGACGATGTCGGCCACCGTGGCACTCAATTCGGGATCTTCTGTGGACGAAGTGGCAATCTGGATGAGAACGACCTTATCCTTGTATTCCGGATACTTGTTGAGAAACAACTCGTACGCCAAAATCTTCTGACGCACGCCACGGATGTTGTCCAGTTTGTCTCGAGCAACAATGATGCGCTTGCCACGATATTTCTCCGTGATGGTCTGAATCCATTCCCTCACTTCAGGCAATCGTCGTTGCTGGTCGAGGGTTTTGGGATCAATCCCGATGGGGCAGGTGTTGACGTGGACGAATCTTCCATTTTCCAGGATGACTCCGTGTTTGGTAGCTTCGACATTCAAGAGACGACTGCAGGTTTGGAGGAAATGATGACAGTACTCGTCATTTTGAAAGCCGATCATGTTGGCTCCCAGAATTCCTTCCAGCAGGTCGGTTCGGGCTGCCAAGCATCGGAAGATCTCCGACGACGGAAACGCGGCGTGAAGGAAGAACCCGATCTCCGCGTCGGGCAGTTTCTGTCGCAGTAAACCAGGGACCAGGAGCAGATGGTAGTCATGAACCCAGATGATATCTCCTTTCTTGTAATTCTTGGCAATCCGATCCGCAAACGCTTCGTTGACTTTGACGTAGAAGATCCAAGAATGATCTTGGTAGGCCTTGCTCTTGGGATGGTCCGGGATCTGATAGTGAAAGACCGGCCACAGAATGGTCTTGCAGTAATGTTCATAGTGACCGTTGAGATCACTGTCACTGACATAGACCGTTAGTGAGTCGTAGTCATTTTCAAGCTTTTCGGCAATGTTCTCTTTCAAGTGATCTTCCAAGACATCGATTGGACAACCCAAGGTTCCCACCCAGGTCTTTTCCTCGAGAATCTCAGCCTCCGCCGCAGCATCGATCGCATTGAATAGACCTCCATTGCCGATGAGAGCTTTCTCAACTGTATAGCTGTATTCCGAGAAGCTTCTTTCATGAGTGACGGTTCTGGATCCCTGTCGCCGTCCCAGCTTGCTTGTTGAATTGTAGAGGACAGGTGTTGCCTTCTCCTTAACACTGGCGACAGCGTGTTTTAGAATGGAGCTCGGCGGAGGCGATTTTGCTCGTGATGGTGGTTGATTCCACGCATGGGCCTTTCCCCAGCCCGGCGAATGAAGGTCATGTCGAGAAACAGTTCGGGGATCCCTAATCACCGAACTAGCGGAGTTTTGTCTGGAACTTGGTAGGGTCAAGCTGATTGGTCGTTCGATATGTGGACGAAAGATCTTTTCGTGGTCGGTGGTGGCTCCTGGAGTTTGAATTATTGGACCGGGACTTTGAGCGATACTGGCCGTTATGCCCGCGGTCGGGGTGAACAAACTGACAGGTTGATGGTCAAGCGGGGGATTTGGGGAGACAGCAGAGTCCAGTCTCTGAAGTACGGGAGACTCTGGCCTAGAGGTTGGAGCATCGAAGTTGACTGTGTAAGGGAGGAATAGGGTAGCCACAAAGATGGTCATTGTCGCATGTGTGGTTGTCGATATGTACTAAAGATGTAGGTGGTTCCAATTCATGTATGAGGTCTCAAATGTGGTTTTCACTGTGCCTGCGTCTCAATTCCGCTCATAGATCTGCTGGAAATTACGTAGCACCGGTACCGAGGGGAGGGCAAGTCAGTGGAGGTACAGCGAGGCAACGAAGGAGAGGGAAGACAGAGACGAGAATCAGCCTTCTTAAAGGCTTATAGTGGCTAGGAGTGAGGCCGTAATGGAAAACAAGTGGATGAACAGAAAGAATGAATGTTGAGAGTGCACTGATAGGAATATTTAAATGCTGGCGCGATGCGAGCTCAACCGGAGTCGGAAGAGATCGAGCAACGCCAATAGAGTTTGAGGGGACCCTAATCAGTGACTCCAACATTGTAAACGAGATGCTAGAGAAAGTCGGTAGAAGAGCACAGGAAACATGGGAAATCGAAAGGCTTTTTGGGGTGACACCCAAATGACGTACGGGGTGGAGCTGCCGACATACAGGAACAGGTCCACGATCAACAAGTGGTATATCGCGTCTCAATGCCTAGCGGTGTTTTTGGTTGTGCCCACGGGGCCCGTATCTTCGGGTTACCACTGCTCTCCTTATTCCTTCTCCGGTTAAGCGCCAGCCTCTGTTCGTCTTTAACTGGGCCGGCATGTCTTCCGGGCACCCGGCCAACAAAAAAAACTCTCTTCCAACTACCAATCTCGGCCTTGTCTCTGGCTTTTTCTGGTCGATTCTCTTTTTTCTCTTCTCACTGCAGCCCTCAGACCACCACTCCTTCGAGACGGGAACCGTTGCACAAGCATGTGCTCGCATCTAGACCGACGTCGATGTCGCTAGTGCTCGTCCTTTGTCCTATTTTATCTTCATCCACTTCCATCCGTCCTCCCCCCTCCTTTCCGCCATGTCACTCTATCTCACAGCGGCCCACTCGTCGCGAGTCAATAAGCCAACTCAGAAACCGGCCCGTCGTCACTCCTCCTCACCATTCGCGAATCTTCCACGCTCAAAACCGTCCATTGTGCGGACGAAGTCATTGACCAATGCCCTCGACGATGGGCCAGACCATAGCGACGGGGACGAGGGCGAGGGCGAGGGCAGGCTGGCGCCTAGTGGCAAAATCTTGTCCACCATCTCCATCGAGCCGGCCAAAGACGTTTTAACTGCGGTAAAACATGCTTGCACCTCCATGTTCGCGCCTCTTCCCGAACGTGCGGGAATGAACAGTGTCCGCATTTCCCACGTTCTGAATTTCCAGAGAAACCTACCATCCATTGTCACTCTGGCACATGTCCACGCTCTAATCGCCGCTTCGTCGAAGACGGAGCGCCAGATTGCCACCTTGCAATCGGCCGGTAAGCTCCGCAAAATCAAGGTAACTGGTCGAGGCAACGATATCACCGGCACCAGTGAGGTTTTGATCACCATGGCGGATTGGCAAGCCTTACTCGAGCGAAGTGATGTTGCGCCAGATGTCGTAGCCGACTTCTGTGATGTGCTTCGTCGTCAACCCCGAGCCACCTCCATATCTTCCCAAGACTTGCCTGCCTCGCATGTGACCACTTTGACTCGAACGGGTTTTCTCGTCTCTTCTTCTCTTTCCGGCTCTCGCAACCTTTCCTTGGCTGGCTCATCCCTGGTAGCCATGCCCAAGATCTCGCGTGCAGCCTCCGGCACATCCGCTGCCGTCGGAGGAGACGCGGCCTTCGAGAACCTAGGTGGGGTTGGTGCGGCAAGGCGACCTAAATCTACTATTCACCTCCACCGGAACAGTCCAGGGAGCGAACTTGCTCTTTCGGTACCCAATATTGGTCCTTACCTCCGACTTCTCAACGCCGGTCGGGCACATCTTTTGGAACTCTTGGCCCAATCAAAGTACAAAGAAGGTCCTCTCTACCTTATACGCGAACGTTGGGATGGCGCTGTTGATTCCGATAATCGCGTTTCCACCGCCAAACGAATCCGAGGAGAGTTTTCGGGAGTCATGCCTGCCAAGACCAAGAAGTGGAAGGATCTCTATGGGTTAAACTTCGACTGGATCGTGGAAGAATGTCTTGGTGCCGGCTTGATCGAATTGTTCGAGACTCGAAGTGTGGGTCTGGGTATACGTGCATTGACATGATGCCTGGTATCGATCAAGCAAATGTAAAAGCTGGCTCAACAGTTTCGGAATCATGCAGATCCGCTAAGACTACGGCCAATGGGCTCGGGTAGCCTCCGATGGATGAACTTCAGTCGTTGTGACCATCTTACTCCGGAAATATGGTACATGTCATCCCCGTCAGCGGGTCACGGCAAGCTCGAATTCAAACCGAACATTCTTCAACAGTGTATTACATTGGAGAAGATATGAAGGCACCCCAAGCTAGACACTCCAGCATGTTTTGCAAAAAGACACACGAGGGCCGTCAGGCTATATCCCCAGGACAGCCACATTCGGTCCACTGGATGATCACCAGAGGCTCAGACGGGAAGGTTACATCATTCCGACGAAAGAAGCGGTGCCGTGCGATATGTTTTTCATATAGCGTTATACTCGCGAAAGGAATATATACGGCGGTTCAAGTTGCGCAAAGCCTTCAGAGTTTCAAACCCATTCAGCAGAAGGAAACGACACCCTCATATCAATATTTAGACGACATCAAAGCAAACAAAAACCAGCCATGATGAATAGCTCCTTCAAATTTGCATTTGACTCTCTTCCTTTTTTCTAGTCTGACAGATGGTGACTGTTGGTCCGGACAGAGTGTAGATCAGAGCAAGTACATGCCTATACCAGCTCCGACGTCCCCAGTCGGGTATACAGTTACAAAATGCCGATATCTTCTTCGATCGATCTTCCTTTCGAGCCAATGTCACCACCCGGCCTATTCTCTGGCTTTTACCGCATATTCAAAGTTTCCCCCCACTCAATTTCTCTGCGATCTTGGCCATACGTTCCTGATCACGCAGTGCCCGCTCGTTGACGTCGCCCGCGAGCATCATACCTCCACGGCCCTGATCGGCTGTCTTGTCTCTGCCCCGTTTGATCATCTCTTCAACCGTATCCGGACGGCCGGAACGCCAGATGCTGCGACCGGTAGTGAAAGTCGTTTCGATAGTGGCGGTCAGCTGTTCCCGGTCCGTGATGAAGTTGCGTGCGTTCATGTACAACGTGTGCAGCTTGTCAAGGCGCGCTTCGTGCTTCGCCGCCTGCCGAGAATCGTGTACCTCCTTGCGCGCATTATAGATCGCCAGCTCTTCTTCCGGACTCAACTGGTGCGGTTTCCGTGGCCGCATGGCCGATGGTATCGAGGTATTGGTAAGCCTTTCATCCTCGCGCTCGGCTTGTGTTAGCAGCCGTTCGCGTTCCTGCTGTTTCATCCGGCTGCGGGCCGTGATGATGTTGTCCATCGAGGTCTTCCGAGCATGTAATTCTTCAAGACCCTCGCGCAGGTGTTTCTTTCGCAGCTCGGACATGCGAAGCTTGTAGCGTCCTATGTCGGTGAGGTGTTCGGTATGAGGCACATTTTTGGGTAGAGGGTCTCGCGTAACGTTCTCCAGGTAGAGCTTGCCAGGCTTGTCCGGTCGGTTCGCTGGGAAGAGTTCCCTGGGTACGGGAAGAACACCCTTTACCGGGGGTTTAGAATCGCGAAGAGGTTGATGTGGTTCCGGGATGTCAATGTACACTGGTGATTCTGGAGGAATATACATGCGTCTGAGGGATGTGCTGAAGGACCGACTTTGACAAGGTTTAATGGGTCGACGCCGACAAGCTCGACATAAGGAGCCGGGCAGAGACTCCATGGTGGAAGACTCTTGTGTTGCTAATCCTCCCGCTGGAAGGCCGCAGATGCAGACTTGATGAATGAATGGAGGAGAGAGGAGGCGTTCTGCTAGTACGTGTTCGTGATTGACGAGAAAAAACCCATTCGGAAACCGTTCGACTTTCCCACTTGACCAAATCTGGAATCCCTGGACGTGCCACTTTTAGCCTTACCGGGGTCACCCCATCATCCCTCGAGACGACCCTATCCCGAAATTAACAACAATTAATCATTCAAAAAGGTCGTCGGACACGCCTTCAACAGAAACATGGTAGGTCCGGAACAAGTACACTGACACATTCGATTCTGGGGATGAAATGTCGACGATGAGCATGGCTTACGGCTTTTTCCTATCAAATATTATGGTCTGGTTGTCAAACCGCTGAACAATCAAACTGCCTACAATTCCACTTCATCGAAAGAGGTGGAGAGATTTTCTACGGATTCGGGATGGAAACACCGCTCAGACGACCAAGGATGGTGTCTGAAGACTTCGAAGAACAATGATCTCAGGGGAAATCGCAGAACCATGGCTCTATCCACATCTGCCATGCACTAAGTGATCAAGTGAGCGGAATCTGGCATCAGATACTCCTATAATCACTGGTTCCTAGGCCAAAGAACCTCTAAATTCGGTCACAAAGGAAATGGTATCCCCCGCGCGGTTGAAACACCAAGACCGTCCCCATGAAAAATATCCTTACTCACCAAAGTCCAAAGCGTTTACTTGGCCAGTTGATCGTATCCCGAAAGCCAAAGGCAGAGCTAAAATGGCCTGAATCGGAGTGTAGATCTAAATGTCGAGTGGCGCGTTCACCGATGTTCCTCCCAGCTCCTTTGGCACCCCCACCAAAAACAAAAGTGGTCCACCGCTAGCAACAATGCACGCCAATGAGCAAGGCTCAGCCTTGTTATCGGATGTTGATTCCGAAGCTCGGCCAGAAAGGCTTGTCCCATATCATTGAACCATTCTATTGCAAGGATCTTGCGGCGCCAGCACACTTTCAGGCCATGCGCTGTCGTACCCTACGGCAGCAGTTGACACTCTACCATGTCCATTTAGTCATCGTTTTCCATTAGCAACCTCTTCTACCTTTCAAGAGCGTGCATGACGTCTGGGCCAACAACGGCGTAATTCTCCTTGCTCTGAAGTCCGACAACAAAAGAATACGAAGGACCAGGCTTTTCCCAGAGCCCAGTTGCAACAACGAACTTCCGAGCACCTTGCAGACACTCCAGAGCGGCGTTGGCCCCGTCCATCAAACATTGCCATGTGGTGTTTGCGCCCGGAGCCGGCATCAGCTGGACGATCGTGCCCACACAGATGATGCACGCGAAAATGAACATGGAATTTTCGCTGGTTGTCTTGATGTTGCAGAGCAGGACCAAGAACTTCTTCGAAGCAGCTTCGAGATACTCGGATGGTTTGATGGCGAATGCTGACATGAGCTCAGTGCTCTCACTAACCTCATGCCAGGCACCATTGGCAAGAAAGTCATGAGCTAAGGCTTCCTTGAGAATGCGAGCTGGTACAGGGTGTCGGCGTTCAAAGAGCTCCGCCAGTGTCTTGTGAGTCTTTGTCGTATCTTGGTGTAGGAATTTTAGTTCACGCATTCTTGCATTTGACCAACGTCCCGACAGCGCGCCCACATTCGGAGAAGTTTGGAGGAGACGGATATCCTCCAACTTTGCGGTCGTGCTTGTTAGAGCGGGTTGTAAGATTGGTCGAGTATGTGCATACGGTCTTCCTTGTTGCACAATTCACACGAGATTATTCTCGACCTAGTACGAGTACAGGTGCCAAATAGTATTCGGCAGCGAAGCGAAGGTCACGCCGGCCTTTACATCATAGTGTTTGTGACTAAGAGAGGTCTTATAAAACAGGGCTCTTTCGTGCTCGAGTGGAGTTGACCCTACTACCTATGTTTGCAGTATCGAACGAGCCGACCTACCTCATCTTTTAGTGTGTAGGATGAAGAGTCATTCACAATCGTATTCCCCCTAGATGGACTGTAACTTGTAAGAATCCAGATGGTCAAAAGCACGCCACGTTAGAACAGATATGTCGACCTGGGTATGGTGGCTGGAGAACCAAGATATGAACTTCAAGAAGGCACGATGTTGCGAAGGCTGTTGAGTCCACCGGTTCACTTATGGCCAGTGCTCGCCTGAGGGTTACCTCAGGATCGGTCCGAGACTCACGAAAGAATGAATCTTATGATTCGTGGTATGGTGTATTCCAAAGTTATATGTTGTAAAGTCAAGAATGGGGACTTCGTGGCTACGACAAGACCGTTGCGGTCCTGCGGTGAGACCTCAGTCCTATTTTTCTGTCTCCTATAGCCGGTCCCGAACTACGTGCATTAACATATAAAGTTGCATGCTTAGATTCAGAACTAGCTGAGCTAGAGGACTCTCAAGCCGTCTGTTTTGTTAGTATTCAGTCTCAGGACTGTTGAAGTGATAAGGCTGTCCTGCAAGACACAACGACCAAGTGCAACGTCAAGCATCGCCCGCAAATCATCCTTTCGAGTTGCTGGCGACTTTCTTGACCGGATTGTCAGCGGCCGAGGATCTTGATCTCCAAATATCGAAGGGGCGCATAGCAGATTGCCGTCCATGCAAATGCAACAGGCAGTCCGAGCTGTTACGGCGATTAGCAAACAGCTATGGATATCAAGGTGGAACTCACATCTGCACCGTGCTCTCCTACTAATTCGGCGATGGGACCATAATAATATGTCTGACCCATGCAGACAATAGCCCCAGCCCAACCGATCAAAAAGCTTGTGAATGCTGCAACACCCAATGGAAGCTTGCACTGATCTTTCCAATCTTCCCAATTGAACCCTGTCTTTCGGCGAAAGATGAATTCATCTTCGAGGACGATTGCGATCCAAATGATGACCCAATATCCAATCAAAGCTAGGAAGTTCAAGAAGATCGACAAGAGATGTTGGCGCCCTGCAATCGCACATACGGTGTATATGATGGTGGCGACCGTCGTCCAAACTGGTCGAGGTATCTTGGAAAGGGGAACAAAGAGCTGCTGGAAATTCAAAGCCTGGGAAATGTGATTAGCCAGAAACTATATCGGGGACCGATTAAGAAAGGATCTAGCTAGCCTACCGCAGCATAAGTGCCCGGAATATTGTTTGCGGCAACACCGAGCGCCAGGATCACGGCACAGAGTTTTCCAAAGTTTTGAAGAGGAGCATATCCGGCAACGACCAACGCACCGACACCTGAGCTTGAGAATGCCTCAGACCATTCAACGTTGTTTGCGAGTCCCGTGCCCAGGCCAATTCCCAGGAACTCGATCAAGAGCTTGCCCAAGGTCATTCCTGCCGTGGTCATCACACACACCCCTCTACGAGAAGTGTTCTCTGGATAGTAGACGAAGAAGTCTGCGGCAGCTGGCGCCCATCCAAGAGGCCCAGAGGCTGTGAGGAAGAAGTAGCTCACGCGATTGCCAGCAAGCGTTGCACCAGACCCTAGTGATTTGCTGTCTGCATCAAAATAGGGAGCCGCACAGCCGATGAAGATGAAAAGTACCAGTACGGTTGGTACTGCTACCCATCTGAAATCTGTTAGCCATCGATATATTTGAGTATTTCAATCTCACTTTTCGAATGTGTGAAACCACTTGATTCCAAAAGTCGCAACGACCCACTATCGATCATGAGCAGGCGTACGCCAGAGAGCACACGAAGGCGTCTTACAGTGATCAATGCAGAGACGACAATGCCCACAATGACAGACATTCCATCCCCGTTAACCGCAGAGAGGATTAATCCCGCGACCAAGGTGTCCACCAGGCCATAGCCGATCTCAATAGTCCAATTCAAGATGACACAGAGCTTGGACGGCCACCATCCCATCGAGTACCGCTTTGGGTTGGTCAGAATATTTTCGCAAGAGAGGTAATCTGACTTACTGCGACCACCAACGTCCTATTGCCCGAGAGGGGGCCAAAGCCAGCTATATAGCCCGAGCAGACCGACCCCAAAATGGTGCCAAACATGCAAAGTCTGTCCAATTGTGAGCATTGTTTTTCTTTCGGGGGCGTTTATATTCATACAGCACGCTGTCCACGAACCCAAGCCCGTAGGCGACAGGGCCCAGGATCCCCAAGGTCATCTGATTGGCTGTACAGCTTGTTTCAAGTGTCCCGGTTAGCTTCTTCATGATGAAAGTGACTCTTCACATCAAGTAAGAAACATACTTGATACTAAACCACATTACGCCGACTCCGAAGTAGTCTACCAGGCCCATTTTACGCTCCCGGAGTTCACCTGGGACACGCTCGATGCCTCTCGACTCGACCCCTGCAAGCGCATCAAGTCTATTTGCAAAGCGTTGCAGCCTGTTGCTGGCCGGGATTGCGGTAAGATTGCGATCCTCGTAAGTTCCCTGCTCAATGGTAGATGATGGGGGAGTGCCGGCGGTAGGCAAAGGGGTCTTTTCTGATTGCTTCATTGTGGTATGGCACTATTCCTTGAGAGTATTCTAATGCAAGAGGTGGGCTGATGTGTTATTCCATGATGGAGATACAAGTAACATATACTATTGCCCTTCTTGGTCAGCGTCCTCTGCTCAACTACGAGTTTCGGGCAATATTTATTAGCCTTGAATAGATACTAAATGATCCAGCAATGTGGGTCGTAGGCGGAGCACGCCGCAGCAGCTTACACTTCTGTTGGGGTGTCGGTGTTCTACAAGGTCAATGCCCATGAAGCTTCCAAGCTTTCCATCAAGGGCTATTAAGTCTCTAACTGCGTCGATAAGAATTCATGTCGATGGTATCGAGTTAGGACCAAGCGATATGCTCCGGCCCAAACCTCTCGCCGAGGCTGAATCATGGGGTAAACTTATCCGTTCTGGTCCCGCGCTGATAAGATGCTCCGTCGAAAACCAACGCTTTGCTGATAAGTCGATTTGCCTGCCCAAGACTTCATGCGTCCACCTCCGGAGTCTGTGTCCTCACTAACGAGTTTCCTATCTTCTGTCTAGTCTAGGCCATGTAATATTGGTCGCTCCAGAAGCCCCCTTAGCCTGAAATCCACGGCCACTAGACATACGACGACCACACAGCCCATTTAAAAGATTTCGGTTGTGCCTGTGAATACAGACCATTTTCGCCATGGCAGCTAACATTACTAATGAGATGATCGCCACAAACGTGCTAGTACTAACGTCCCCAAGGGTTTACTTGCATCTTGCTAAATCATAATAGTCTTCATTCCAGATCCCACTGGTAGACTTCGGTCAATATCTCCATGGATCTGAAGATGATCAAAAAATATGTGTCGACGAAATCATGAGAGGTTTCACATCCTCGGGATTTGTATATTTGCAAAACAGCGGAGTTGATCCCCGGGAGGCTTTCCAATGGGCGGAAAAATACTTTTCCCTGCCCCTGGAAGAGAAACAAAAGCATCCCAACGTCGACTTTGCAGCGAACAGAGGGTGCGTTCTCTACGGATGATTGCCAGAGCACGTCTGCTGATTTAGACATCAGATATTCGGCAATGGGGGTCGAAAAGGTGACAAATGCAAATCTGACCAACGAAGAAAACATCGCAGAACTTCGCAAACTCTTTCCGGACGTCAAGGAATCATTGGAAATCGGAAGCGAAGCTCGTTACGGCTACCCAGAAAAGCCATACCAAAACCATTTCCCTGAAGACTTGATTCCTGGATTTGGCAACGGTATTATGGAATTTTACGTCAAGTGCGATCGGTTACACAAGAACCTCACGGGCGCAATTACAACTGGGCTTGGCTTAGACAGGTCGTACTTCGAACCATAAATATCTGGAGGAGATCACGTCTTACGATTACTTCATTACCCGGCAGTGCCAAAAGCTGTATTGACTCAGGAAGGGGCGGTCCGGGCTGGAGCACACACCGACTATGGCACTGTCACGCTACTCTTTCAGGATGGAAGCGGTGGTCTTCAGGCGCGTACTCCTTCTGGCCAGTATGTCGATGTACCTCCAGTTGCCGGGGGCCATTGTGATCAATGCTGGTGATTTGCTTCAAATTTTGTCAAACGATGTCAGTAAGTCAACATTTCACCGTGTCGTTTCGCCTCCTGATGCTCCTGCCACCGACGATGGCAATTTCTCCGCGCGCTATTCGATTGCTCTATGTTACCAAATGAAGTGAAACATCCTGGCGAATTTGCTGACAACCGTCCAGTTCTTTTCCCATCCTGACCATGACAAGGTTGTCGAAGCAATCAAAGAGTGCGTAACCGAGGCTAGGCCTAAACGATATGAACCGGTGTTGCCAATCGATTGGATGGTCAAGCGTCTTCAGGCAACGTATTAGACCCAACCACGAGAAATGGGAAGCCTTTGGGCGGTCGTGTATCTACCGACGTGGTCCTCTAACCGAGAAGTCGATCAACACCAGGACGATTTCACTCGTTGGCAAGGACGGAATTGACCCTAAGCGGGAGTTCTCAAAGGAGATTCCGGAGGCGTTGTCGAAACTCAAATTAAACCGATGTCCACAGCTGGGGACGCTACAATCGTCGGTATGGCGAGGGGTTGTGATGGAGATATTGGTGTAAGGTCATTCATACAATTCGTAATTTGAGTATAACCAGTAACCAGCCTCGCGCTTAACCACAACAAAGCTATCGGTATAATATTTGTCACAGCTCACAAAGGCAGATGTTTGTTGATGTTAACTACGATGCACGGATCGAGGTTCAATTCTTGGGAAATTCCCGATAGTCTCTCATGGCGACGGCAAAGTGGGGTTGTGGCGAGTTATACAGCAATTTGGGACTAGTGCGAAACTTCTTGGCATATATTAATCACGTGATCCACACGCGATGTGGATTTCTGCCAAGGATTCTGGCTCACGCTAAGCTACATTCGTTTACGGAATATATATAAGTAAAGCGGCCACCCCCAGCAGATAGTTTTAGTTAGTTCATACATTCTCTTCCCGCCGCTACAACCACAGGGAGCGGTCATCACGTGGGGAATTACGTTAGTCCTTGTTAGTTCTGAATCTGGAAAAATCCGACAATTCCCAAATCCTTTGCTCCCATTGGCTGAAATCCAGTACGGCTCATCAGATCCACTCCATGAACCATCCGGGATGGGTAGATATGCCGCTTTTGTCTGCCAGACCCCCTGATCGGATCTAGTCTATGTAGACGATGTTGATCACCGTGTCCTGTGCCCGTACGATATCCCCCATCGGATCCAGTCTGTGGACCACCTAGAGAGACGCCCCTTGGTCGGATCCAGTCCATGGCCCATGAGTAGACGACAGTGTATCCAATTAGGAAAGCCGACAAACGATATCGGCGATATATCTAGCAAATACCGATACATTGGGATCAGGTATCGGCGATGAGATCGGTATTGTTAGTTCGGAACACTGGGTTGAATGGACGACATTGGAGCAAGTTGAGGTTTGCAACACCAAGATTTTCTATACAAAGGAGACGGCGACAAGGCGGCCAGTACTAACAAAGTCTTGGAATTACATAATGTCCGAGGTTGGTGCCCCTTTAATTTGGTGCCGAGTTTGGTGGGCATTCGATACTTTATCAATGCCTGCGATGTGTTCGCTGAGCTTGAGAGGGTTTTTTTTTTTTTTTTTTTTTTTTCACAGTCAAAGAACCCGATTACAGACAAGCTCAACCGGCTGGTGGCGACCGTCATTTGAGAGGGCGCAGTGTAGAAAGCATTGGCTGGATCTGTACAGCCTCGTCGAATGACGTAAAGCTGACCAATTAGAGAGTTTCATTTTGGCCCTTAGGACTAGTAGTCAGGACTAGGACAATGGGACGTTCGTCCTGCCAACACTGAGCATGTCAAGGTAACTTCAACTCCTTTACCATCAAGGTTGAAAAATCGAGCTGGAGGGGAAATGCGTTTTGATCCCGAACTTCGCGGCAAAAGAGGGGGGCGAAATCTGCGTCTAACTCACCTCGACCCTCACCCAGACGTCGACGCTTTTAACCACCCAACCGGTCCTGCCAGGTTACTGGTATATATACACGTTGAGTTGACCCCTTTTCTTCTCCTATTTCTACCCCTAAAACCTGCATAGGGTGAAAATTCGTGTGTAGATTGCAGCTATGGAAAGGGGGAAACCCCTCTATATAGGCCAGGAAATAGGGGCTCTTTGCACTAGGCACCAGCTGTTTGACATCATCCTTTCCAATCCAGCGTTCGAGCTGCCCCTACCTCCCTCTACACACAAAAAGGCCTCTCCCCCGGACCGTAGGTCGAAGAGCTCTTGAGAATGCCGGTTTCTTGCCCTCTGTCTCTCTGAAAAAGGCCTCTCACCTCTCGGCGATCCGTCCTCGCTCTCGCCCGGTCGCCCTCGTCCCGATCCTGCCCAGAATGGACAGCCACCGTGTTAACAAGCTGTGGGCCCAGGCCGAAACCAACGGCTGCAGCGAGGGAGCACCTACAGAGCGAGATCAGGTCCGTGGGAACGGGAAGCACGACAAGAAGGAGATTAAGAATCATGACGCAATACTCCACCGCTACGTGTCGTAGGACATTCTCCCTTTCATCCTCCCCTTCCCGTCTTCCGACCTCCCAGTGATGAAGTGGTCCGACAGTCTTGCCTGGGACTGGGCGTGGAGACTACTGTCTTGATCACGGTTAAAGACTCTCTACGCTTCTACGTCGCCACGCTGCGAGTCAGCCTAGGACTGAGGAGAAGAAGCCGAGGGTCGATTCCATCAATGGGCAGAGCGGAGTTTTTCTTTGTGGGGCTTCACATTTTAATTGACTGTCTTAAGGGTACCGTCAAATTTACCCTGGCAATATCATTCAGGTGCCTGCAAAGGACCAGGATGTTACCAGGCAGATCCTGAAAAATTGAAAAATTCAGTGGAGAATCAGGCAATTCTATCACCACCAGGTTGTACTGCTGCACCAAGCAAGATAGGTCGGAGGAGCCTAAAACTATCTGCTGAGGTTGGCCGCTTTACTTATATATGTTCCGTAAACGAATGTAGTTTAGCGTAAGCCAGAATCCTTGGCAGAAATCCACAGCTTGGACATTGCCCGTGTGCTCCCAAACAGATCGGAGCCTGGAGCTATTAATTCCACTATGTCTTGGCGCACTAAATCACGGTGACATGAGCCAGGAGAAGGATTTAATAGATTCACGATTGCCTTTGACGCGATCCAAATCACTTGAAATGTCTTGACTTGAAATAAATAATCCATGTCTCGAACGCCAAACTGATTGACTGGGGCTTCGCGTCGGCGTGTCGACGAGCTCGCCAAGTGGACGTGGTTGGCCCGGTGACAACGAATGTTTGTTTCCCCGCAAAATCGGCTACTACTCTCGATAACCTTTTAGAAAGAGCAACGTATCCATCCCTTCGATTCAGCCCACCACGGATACAATCAAGTATCCATTGCGAGTACCGTACGCCGTTACTGTTCCTATTCTCTCTTTGGCAGATGAACTCATGATGTCGCAACACATTCAGCAACAGATAACGCAAAACACGTGCAGGAAAAGAGCGCGTGAGAAAGAGTCATCGACCTCAGTATCATCTGGAGTGAATCTTGTCGATCGTGTTCCGAATCATTTTACTAAAATTCCTCGACCTCCGCCACCTTCTCATCCACGAAAATCCTCCTCTCGTCAACTTTGCAAGACCGATCCTCCTAGACCGTCCTCACTCATCACAACTCAACCGTTCAACCGCCTTACATCCCATCCTTCATCCGACGCTGAAATCCCCGTTCCTGACACCAGCCCACGACAAATTCATGCTCTTTGGACACTTGTCATGCCGCCGAAGAAGGCTGCGAGTGGCATACCCCAGAGAGTCTTACCGCGGAGAGGCGCGGCAGCGAGCAGAACCGCTAACCAAAAAACAGAAGTCGAGACAGCAAGCCGTCTGCAAAATGTTGCATATGACGCCGCGACAGCCATTTCTCAGAACACCACTATGACTAAAGGCACCGCTATTACCAAGGATACCTCTGTCTCAAGGCTCACTGCGGTAGAGAAATGGCGGCAAACTGTGCTCGTTCCTCGAGGCATTGAGCTTGTCAATAGTCCACTTTACGAGTCCGCCTTCTACCACTTCCATTATTTCGGAACCGATGAAGATCAGTGTCGGGAGTGGACACTCAATCGTGTCGAATCTGGGAAGAATGAGGATATGGTGTTCTTGCGTGGAGGGCCCGATTTTAACACGAACATCGCCCGACAATACAAGGAAATGGCCTCTCGTCGTCTCTGTGAAGAGGAGTTTGCTACCCTTGCCAAAACAAAGTTGTTTACAACACCGGACTTCCTTCCGATCGAAGGAGAAGCCAAGGGATGGAAGGCTCAAAGGACGATTCAGCTCTATACGCAGCCTGATTCCAGCAAGGATTCGCTTTGGGGCCCACCACCATTGCTCAGTGGAGAGGAATATTCCGGCAAAGATTTTAATCTCAGGCCGGACTGCGCATATTGGCTCTCCATTCAATCGTTCTCGGAGAGCAACAGAGGGCTGGTCAGTATGGCCACCTTCACTGTCGAAGATAGGGACACCACCCCATACCTGACCATTGAATTCAAGAAAAGCGAAAGCACTGTCGAACAGGCGATCAATAAGGCCATTGCCGCGTCTTCATTGGCACTCTTTAATCGGTTTCGCTTGAAAGAGAATAGTCTGAGAGCTGCAAAGAAGAACTGGAATCCGAACCATTTTGATCAAATACGGCATTATATGATGACCTTTACTGGGCCTAAGGCTATCATTTGGCTTGTAAAGCTCAAGTTGTCAGCCGCATCTGATGAAAGCTGCTCTAAAGTTACTTGGAACGGCTGCGAGGCGGTAAGGCTGTTACAGTGTGACTGTAAGTCCGCCGGAGGTGTTGGTGACCTGGTCGACTACATTAACGCGATTCATCGGTGGGGTTTGGTACATGGCGCATATTGTAGACGAGATGTCAAAAGGATCATATTAACAGCAGGAGGGTTCGAAAAACGTGTCTCTGATCTGTTTGACCCTGATGACCCGATTGAGGATGAGGAAGATGGGCAGGCTATGAAGACCAAAGAGTGATTGGCTGGTGGAAATCAGTTCAGAACCACGACTATGTGGTCCATTAGCTTGACTGTGCCGGCTCGCTACACCAAGCGGTGGTAATTTGATGTTTGGGGAAGCGTGCCGCGAGAGCGATGCTTGATACGAAAAGAGTCTAACAGAACACGGCTTGTGATTTCTTAGAATGAGTGGTTGAATGAGCTCTGGTCCAAGGGATGAAAAAGGTACCGGTCTTGCAGTCGGAGATTATCCAACCTCCTTCGTCATGAATAAGTCGGCGCTGCGCGTAAGCGTAACTCTCCACAAAGCCCCAGGTATTCAGGCGCTCAAGGTAGTGGATTCGGTGAACTCCATCTCAAGATTCTGTGAATCCCATATATCAAGAGCTGGAACGATACAAGGCGGGATACTCTGTATCCTATGCTTTACTAGTACGTCCCTTCCACGCGATCGTGTATGTGACTCATTAGAACTAGGCAACCATACCGGTTCAACGGTTCGCCCACCACTTTCCCTCTCTAAATCTGAACCCAAGCAAGAACGTTCACCCAGCCAAAGAATAAGAATCTATCTCGGGGCTTAAGACGAGCTTACTCTTCCGTATGTTCTCAACAATTCTCTGCAGACAAAATCAAAGAGACCGATCCGAACCGAACCAAACTGCTTTGGTGAAAGATCATGGAACAAAACGCTCCTCGATACTCGCAAGCTACTCTAGTCAGCCGACTCAAGAGTCAGGCTCAGTCAGAAGATCCCACGAAAAGCAGTTTCTTGACATCTACCTCTAAGACACGCTCTGACAGAACGCAGATCACCAAAACTGCCACGGTCCGCGACTCCGACTTCGAAGATACTCAGTTACTTCCGCGGGGGATTGAGATAGTAAGAAGCGGGCGTTGGAATGTGGGAGGAGCTTACGGCCATTTTGGCTCCGAGACACCTTTGAACGCCGCCAGATCACGCGAATTTTACCGATCCATCGTTCGAAAAGCCCTTGCAGGAAGAGCTGACTGGGACATAGACAGTTCGATATTCCTGCCCATGGACGTCGACTTCATCACATCTGTGCTCACGACGTATCGTATTATGAGACAGGAAGAAGCTTTGGAATCCGACTTTAAGACATATGCTATTCAGAAGCTGTTCATAGGGCCATACGCTGTCTTAGAACATAATGTTGCAAGACAGCTTAGTGCGGTACGGTGGGCCGGCTACACCATACGAATACTTGATAGTGGGAAGTGTCGGGATGAACAAGGAGTTACGGAATTACTTCAATGGATCAACGAAATTCATCGATGGGGCCTCTGCGAGTACGCTCTCGGATGTGAGGAGGATATCAAACAGATTCTGAACCAAGCTTCGGGCAATCTCAGAATGTCCGGAACTGTGGAGAAAGTCTAAAATGATGAAGGCAGCACAAATCGTGAACGGAGCTCAAGGTGGTGAAGGAAGGTCAATAGTGAACGGAGCCCAAGGGAGCCTGAAATGGTGTATGGAGTAAAGCCCAAATACTGTGCATGGATTAAAAGGGGATGGAAGTATGTTCATGAAAGCAGGCGTCTATGGACCGGTGAGTACGCTGGTTGAGTGCGTAAATGGGTACCGATTCTCTCTTCGGAATATTTCAGGTAGAGTTTATGAGATAAGGGCAGTAGAATCGATAGGTCATCCAAGAGTTCGCTCTGGCTCGAGAATTGATTGTTGTTTGTGGCGGGCGTCTGACTAACCGGCGCAATCTCACGAGAAAGATTGATGCAGGAGTGCTCGAAGGTGACGCCTCGGTTCAGCGAACGCTCGAAAACTTTATACGAGTGAAATCACTTGACTCACAGGACCCGGTGAGCTTGTTGGAGCTGATGGAACGATTTCGGGACGCACGCTGTATCGACCCACGAGACAAGGTATTCGCGTTGCGTAGCACCGCAAGCGACGGGTTTCGACTGGTACCTAAGTACAACGAGTCAGTCGCTGATGTATACTTTCGAGTCCTATCCATGTTGCTAACAGAGCGAGTTTTGCCCAAGATGTTGGGATATCGGTGGCCGCATCACGCTGCAAGTCAACTGCAAAGTTGTATACAGTTAACGAAACAAGATCTGCTCAGCTCGTTGGTGAGCTGCACTGATGACCGACTTTATACTGTTTTCGAGTACACAGGACTCATAACAACGGTGCAAGAAGCTCTTCCAGAAAAGCAAAGGTCGTGCTCAGTCAACCGGTTCTCCTCTTTTCCTCTCGAAATCCGACTTCAAGGCTCCGCTTCGGGAATTCTTTATGGCAGTGGAGACTTGAATCCAGGGGATCTGGTCTATAGCTTACAATCAACGCCACAATCACCAGGAGGCCTCTACATCGCCTTCGGACCTGGTTCCGCGGATGTCACTGTCATCGGTATGCTCATCAATCAACCAGATGCTGCAGGTGTGACTTACTGGACGAAGATGAGACTCTGCCAGCAAAAGATGAAATTGATCGAAAAAATCACTCGTTGCGGCGTCTTGAGATGTTCTCGGAACGTTTTAGCAAGATCGCCGCAAGGCAGGGTTCTATGCCATGTCAATAGGCTGGCACTAATTCTGTTTTGGCTGCTTGATATCAGACAAGTCGATTACCTCTGGGATAGTCAAAAGGAGCTCCTGAATCAACCGGTCGGAGCGAATTTGTTATGCTGCTGCTTAAGTGACGAAAGAACCCATGCGAGCCTCGATGTCAACTTTCTGGAACCTCAAAACTGCCTTGAGATACTGCCGTCTTTCCAGTTTTCAGAAAATGAAAGCTGTTGGGCAGCAGCATCCACACAGCCATGGAGTGTTGCGGGGCCTCATCTGTCACAGGATCAACATGAAATCAACGAAAGCCCATGGCAGAGCCCAAGTCCTCTGGATTTCTCCTATTGTGGGAGGACGGAGCTATCGTATGCTGCGGGAGACGGGTGTGTGGGCTTCACAAAGCTGTTCCTTTCAAAAAATGGAACCGACACAAACTCCGGAGACGAGAGTGGACATACGCCGCTCTCGTGGGCCTCCAGAAATGGGCATAACGCAGTGATAAAGCTATTAGTTGCTCGAGATGATGTTCAGGCGAACTGTAAGGACAAGTATGGCCTGACGCCACTGTCGGAGGCGGCATCCGAGGGGCATGAGAAGGTGGTGCAGGTCCTGCTTGACACAGGGAAGATCGGCTCTTGACACCAAGGACAACGATGGCCGGACGACGCTGTGGCTGTGGCAGCATCCGAAGGGCATGAGAATGGGATACAGGCTGGATGAAGCACGACACATATCGGCCAGAAAGAGCCCGGGAAATTTCTTTACAAGGTCTGACTCGTTTTGCGGCCGGTCAATCTACGGATGAAGGAAGCGCCTGCTCCACCCTCCACTCCCATTCAACTTCCCATCTTTCCCACCCATTCTCATCTTCCCAGCTTTCATAACCCTCCTTTTCTTCCCTTCTCAACAGATTGCAACAATTACATAAGCGACAGCAGCGGCCAAACAGCCGTTGATGAAATTCATGACGCCGATAAAGCGGTTTGCGACGGGGTGGATTTTATGAAATCAAAGGGTCGCTAGTGTGTTTCCTGCTCGCGTTCGCCTGCGAAATGAGAGCTATCCTCGGCCTCGGCAGCACCGGCTGGGCATTTAGCATGTTCGTCAAAGTTTGCAGCACAACGATTCTAAGTCAGAGTTTCAGGATCAAGCCTTTGCGCTTTTTGGCCCTCCACAAACTCTACAGTATTCTCGCGACATAACGTTGTGGCAAACTGTTTGAAAGAAGCTTTCCACACTTTTAACCGGAAGAGCCGATACGGTGTGAATCCAGGTCAGAATATGACGTCACTTAACATCCCTACTGTACCTCTTCACAGCAAAGTTATTAAACTTATAATTGATTGATTGGTGTTCCTTCCTAATTCGAATGACCAGCTTTAGTAAAGGTGAAAAAGAGGATGGGCAGCCAATCACATACTGCGGAGGTTGAGTTCATTCCAATGTGAGTCAAGATGTCCAGAGAATTGTACCGACATATCCTAGTCTGCATCCTAACTCGATATTTCAGTCCAGCAGCCCGTCAAGCCATTCCTTTGTGACGCATCGGTAAATAGTTGTAGCTCGCTCCTTCCGCGCACCTGCCCTTGTCTTCTGTGATATTGACAGCTGTGCGGGAAGCATAATGCTATGGGCCCATGGTAAAGGCTTCGATCTCTTCCATGTTTACCAGTTCACCACACGCCAGCGCCATCCGCTTGGCGGGTGCTTCGTGGGTTGTGTAAAGCACCGCCAAGGAATCATATAGTGTTGCGCCGTATCTACCGATCTAGATATACTCCTACGATTCAGCGCTCCTCGCTGGTCTACGCGTCCACAGCTCAAGGCGGACCAGACCTTTTCCTGCCTAGGTGATTCCTTGTTTACTTCTTAAGCATACAGCATCAGGCTTCCGCTTCCTAGGCGATGCCACATGGCTCGAGAGGACAGAGACGCATGTTGGGTGTACAAAGAGACATGATGCTTACTATCCCACTCGTACTGAGAACCTGAGCCACTGCAATGGATAGTTTAGGTGATGAACCTTTATGGGTCGGAGTAGCAACATTCCTGCGCTTGATAGTTTTCATCGTTTTGGCGATAAACGGAGCGACAAGGAAGTCGCTCCGCGAGGATATGATCCGTCTAGCAGAGTTGCTAACAATCAATCTAATCAATCTCGTCGTCATGGATTGATTGATATGATTTTCAACGGAAGATGGATTGATGGGATTGGATTGATTTGTAAGTTGATCGTCCTCCTTGAATTGCTTCAAATAGTCGTTGACATTGAGGGTCGTCCGTTCACGCTCGGTTACGAACCATCTCGAGTGTGACTAGGAGAGCTTCTCTGAGGTGGTCCACAGACTGGATCCGATGGGCGACGAAAGGGGGATTTCATCGGATCCAATCCATGAGGGCGCCCCCCCCCCCCCCCGGGAGGGGGAGCACGTGATCCCGGAAAATAACGCCAAGCCATATGCTTACGTGATTGGCCGGCTCGCCGCTCTTGGCGTCGCCGCACAACGCCAAGCCCTAACCAAGCGATATCAAAATTAAAAAATAAAAAAAAACATTTAAGTTTATATTTTAAAATGCCAAAAACTGCTTCAAAATTGACACCAAATCGTGGTTGACCTATCAAGGACGTAACCGAGTGCTAAAACACTAGGGTTGCAGTCGAACCGATAGAATTGAGGGGCCTCACTAGTGTTCGATCATAGGTGAAGGTAAGAGGGTTGTCCGGCCTAGACTCCATTGAGCTTTCTAGGTGCCCTAGATGGGTAAACGTAATGCTCCAGCCAGTGATTGTTGATGATGTCGTCTTGTTCATACCGTTGGGAGGTCACTGATTCAAACTCTTCTTCGGTTGAACTTGTCTGGCTGAAGCTTTCACTGGCTGCGGCGCCCCATTTATAAGTTCGTCAGAGATGGACTATAGGAGGGGAGCCCTTTTATTTTCTTAATATTTTTTTTGTTTGCATATATACTCTTAGATGCTACTGTAACAAGCCAATCCAATCAATCTCCAGCTTTTGGGATTGATTGATTGGCAAAATTCAGCCCTCGGATTGATTGGATTGATTGATTTGTAAACAATCCTAACAATCAATCTTCCAATCTGGCTTGGTTGTTAGCAACTCTGCCGTCTAGGAACTGGTGCTATTCGCGCCTCGCCTCGGATTTAGCAGGAAGCTGGATCCACTGGCTGATGTAAGCCATCCGTACGATCGGTGGGTCTTCTAAAATCCTGCGTTCACGTTAAGCTGGTCTGGGCCGATCATAAGGACCTAGTCCAGCAGCACTATCGACGTTTTGAGAATTATGACCTATTGAACATGCCAGGTCGGACTTATCGCATAATTTACGGGGTTACTTGCATTCGGCCGATGCTTCAAGACAGTGAAAACTCTTAACATATCCAATCAAAATGAAGGAGCAAGAAATGAATGATTGCTTGAACCCACACTATTCTCGTATGTCCGTGGTGAAAATCTACTATAAATACATTGCCAGTCTTCGATGTGCCCTTCACTCAAATTAGTCAATCTCACAGCTCTCGACTCGATCATGGCCTTCTCGCGCATACCTTCCACGGTGGTAGATCCTGCTCCACTTGGGCTGCCGATCACGTATAAGCATTCGGGCAAAACAGCAAGGAACCGATTCCTCAAAGCGGCTATGAGCGAACAGATCTCTTCGTGGGACTCAACGAATCTTTCAGCGCGTGGCATCCCTTCCAAGGAGGTCATCAAAGTCTATCAAAGATGGGGAGAGGGAGGATTTGGGCATATACTAACAGGAAACATCATGGTAGCTTACGATCAGTTGGAATCACCCGGTAACCTTATTATTCCACCAGACGCGCTGTGT